ATATATACGTATATGTATGTAGTTAGTATGCATGTCTGAATAATTCATTTTGTATGTAACAGCGAAATTGTGTGGTATTGAACTGCACATACGTGTGCATATTGCGATTCATCAGCAATTTTAAATTTGACTTAAAGGCAAGTATTTAATATGATAATTTATTCATGTGTGTGATTGACTGTTCTTCCAATAAATACAAATACGTACTTGCTTTACTTAATTGATCGTTCCGAAAGACACTCACTCCCTTGGCAGTAGACGCCGCGTAACCGGTACAGACCTGTATACAACTGACCTACTCCCAACGCAAGACTTTCCTACGCAACAACCGGAATAGTATTACTTCTCGATAGTGAGAACACATTTTAAGCCTTTTCTATGATGTCTTCATCGACGTATTGATGTCCGGTAACAGTCTGGCCCACTTTGTCGATAAATTCAGTTTTGGCACTATCTTCGAAGGTGATTCTTTCTATAACCCTCAAATACTATGAACTAAACTTCTGATTTGTGCTACGTTGTTTGAAAACAGAGCAAATATATATCTGTGTATAAATATAACTTGCAAATTGATGAAATAACTTTTTATACCCTGAACAGGGTATATTAAGTTGGAAACGAAATGTGTAACACCCAGAAGAAAACGTTGGAAATCCTATAAAATATATGGTATATACGAGTATGAAAGTGATCAACGTAATGAGCTGAGCCGATTTAGCCATGACCGTCTATCCATCGGTATGTTACGCGAACTAGTCCCACAGTTTTTGAGATATCGATATGAAATCTTCCACGCGTCCTTTTATCACCAAAAAGCTACTCATTTGTCGGAGCCGGAAATATCGGAAAACTATAGCATATAGCTGCAATACAAACTGAACGATCGGAATCAAATTCTTGTCTGGAAACTTTTTTTTTTGTGAACGGTGTTATATCTTCGGTGCAACCGATGTTAACGTTTATTCTTGTTCTAACCATATCACGGTATTTCAGTAACTTTCCATCGTGTGATTTTCCATGAAATAGCTCATACTTAAGTTCAACATGTTTTCGATAAAATATTGCGGTCAATTGAATAATTAAAATTGGCTTTGAAGAGTTTGTGTTTCGCGACTTCGTTGAAACAAAAAACAATTACCAGCTGTGGAATTCTAACTCTACGTGTACAAATACGAGTGTGTCCAATACTGTTCAATATTTGTTATTGTTATGAAAATGATTTTTTTCTTGTGGCACGCATACCGGTGACGCATTTGTAACACAGTGTCGTTTGATGGAATTTATCGGGTTAAATTTATTGCCTCAACTGCACAACCTTTGTATAGAAATGGCATTTTGACGTGAATGCAGACACACATACATATGTCGTTTCCACATTCCCCAGTGACTGAATGGTATGCATGTGTGTGTGTTGTTGCAGGCGCTCGTGTTTAACATTCCGCTAAGTGTGCATAGAAGTAAGCTTTGGCCGACGTTTTGTAATTTAATTTATGACACTTTGCTAATTGCAATTTTTTTCGTTTCTTTCGTGTTTTCGCTTTCGTTTTTCGTGCTGCTGCCATTAGCAATTCGACAATGGTTTGCACTTTGTGTTATGTTGTCGCCGTTTTTATCAAGCTCTTTTATGAACATTTATCGTCGTTATATTCTATGTAAAAAGTGGAAGATTATCGCTTGTATAAAATTTTACCTTTAAGTAAAGCGTTTTTCTCACTCTGGTAAACGTGGAACTAACAAAAAACTATATACCAAAGCGTCAATTATCTGTTTTCATATTAGTAAATACCGATTCGTTAAGTTCGAAAGAATTTTAGGACTTCTTAATAGTTTGACCTCTCAAAACGATTATTGATTCAATTTACACTTACCGATTGATATAAAAACAAGGGTTTGCCATTATGTGTTAAAAATGATTTCGCGCATGTCACCGCCGCGGCTGACTCGAATAAATTCCAGCCGAGAGAACCAATTTTCGACCTGTTTTTTTTTGCAGCAATTGGGGCCGTGTGTCAGATAAACACACCGAATATTCTCACGAGATAATGCGCTTGATTGTTTCGTTGGTTGTATGACATGTAGGCCGTCTTCAGGCACGAAAAAGTCATTTATTATGGTTATATAGCATTCTCAATTGACCTGTAGCATTTAACAAATACAATATAATATCAGGGTTTTCGAACATCCGGCAGACTTTATTCCGTATGATTGCTGATGGCATGTGAGGTACCTTAATGAAACCCTAGGAGCATTTTATTAGTCTGTGGCATGTTAGTAATATGTGGTACTGGCGAAAATTGATAAAATTGGGTCAATACTACTTCCAACTCCCATATACTACTTATAATGATTTTCCTTATTCTAACAAGTTTTATGTCGAATATGTTAGCTTTGAACTAGAATGGAATTGCTCTATATATTGGTCTAAACCTCTGGTTGACGTTTTTCACATCAACTCAATATATAAAATTTAACCGCTTCGGTCGAGTTAATATCACATACATATACTTTGTAACTCATTCGAATGTGTTTTTAATATGATTTTATCTGACGCGAACTAAAATATAGCAATAAAACTAATTTTAAGTTTATGACCTTCAATATAAGTCAAGAAGATACCAAATTTCACTGCAATTTATTCACGATCATCATAGTTTAACTGTGACTGCCTTTTCATACTCCAACAACAATTCATTGCTTTCAGCTAGGCTCCGAGTATTAATATATAGTATATATGAAAGTAATTCATTTAGGCCCTCAGAGAACTTGGTCCCCCAACCAAATAAACATTCCCACCATTTTATTAGCTTCGAGATGCTCTTTCTAAGGTTCTTAGTGACGAAAACCAACGCAAAGGGACATTTTCAACAGCAAAACAACAGTTCCACTTTTGCCGGGAGCGGTATGAATAAATGCGGCTACTTAATCATGAAGGCGAAGATTTTTGTTATGGCGCTGATAATTGAAATTTATGCAGCTTTTAACACAATTTACGATATTTACACTTATTAAAACAAAATAAAGCATTTCGAATGAAAAACCACTTTAATAGAAGCTAATGTGTATGCATAGGTATTATAAATCAGTACTCATTAAATTATTATATAAATTTATAAGAATATAACTTTAAAATTTGTTGTTATATGTAAAACCCACAATTTAACTAAGTATAAATGGCTATAGTATTACATATATATATTTTCTCGATTTAAAATTTTTTCTACAAAGTATGTAATAATTTAATTTTAGCTCTACCACAATTCGTCATTATACCCTGAACAGGGTATAGTAAGTTTGCCACGAAGTTTGTAACACCGTAAAGGAAAAGGTTGTTAAGGGAACGTTGGAGACTTTATGTAATATGTATATATATAAATGATCAGCGTGACGAGCTGAGTTGGTTTAGTCATGTCCGTCTGTTTGCTCGGATACACGAATATCCGTTCGTCTGTCTGTAGCCTGTAGCGAACTTGCCTCTTAGCTTTCGAGATATCTTACTGACATTTTGCACCCGTATTTTTCTCATCATCAGCTAATTTGTCGAAACCGCCGATATCGGACAACTACAACATATAGCTGCCGCTGAGGATCCAACTCAAGTCTTTTTATGGCAAACTCTTTTATTCGTAAAGGTATTCCTTACGAAATTTGGCATATAACATACTACAATCTCCGAATATATATTTTTTATTTATTTACGCCATAAAAAATGCGCCTGTGAAGGGTATTATAATTAACGTTGTTTCTTGTTTTGGACTAAAATTATATTTAGCTTGTATTATGCAGTTCTCGTCTAACCTATATATAACACATGTTTTAATCATACAAGGTTGTGTTAGTCACACATTTCTAACACAAGATTGTTGTTTGTGGTTTTGAGAAATAATCATATACATTTTTATGGGTGGTTTTATTAACTTTTATTTTTTTTAACCATAATACAAGTACACTTCGGAACATTGCAAACCAATCCGCTGAAGAACAGCAAGAAATCGCTCGAAAAAAGCTTCGCATGTTTAAGGACTTATGTATATTATTATAACGAAAGATGATATGCACTCAAACATATTTTATTAAGCTAATTAAATTAATAACTTAAGTTTCATAAAAAATACAACTTTATTTTATTAAAAGTTCGTTAGACGGTACAAAGTTCGCTAGCTGGAGTAATCAACTTTGCAACTATTTTTTTATGGTTTTCAAATTAGATTAAATACATACATATACGCATATGTACATTTATAGCATACACATTTTCATCGACCTCGTCATAATTTCTGGTTTGAAAATTAAAATTCGCTTGAAAGCAATGTCGAGAATTCAGTCGAACCGAAACACTCTAACATTCGCAAACCTATACTTTTTATTAATAGTCGTGGAGGAATTATGGTGAGTAAGAAATATTCACATTCCTTTTTATATATACTTACATGTTGCTACAGATTATACTAGTTTTTTTCACCAAACGGTTGTTTGTATCACCTAAAACTAATCGGGTTAGATATAGAGTTAAATATATATAAATGAACAGGATTACGAGACGAGTTGAAATCCGGGTGACTGTCTGTCTGTCTGCCTGTGGAAGCGATAACTTGAGTAAAAATTAAGATATCGTAATGAAACTTGGTGCAGGTGTTCCTTAGTAAAAAAGTGAGAACGAGTTCATAGATAGGCGTAATCGAACCACTGGCACGCCCACAAAACGTCATTAATCAAAAACTTATAAAATGCCATATAAGTACAAATCCTGTCGGAATCCCTACCGACATATGCATGGAATTGGATTATAACCGACGGTTATAAGTTCATTGCTTCTAACTCATATATTATATAAAACATAAGTGCGCTGCTGACGAAGGGTGAGTTTGTCAACGGCATTGCTAAAAAAAAGTTTTTACCTTTCCCAAACACAGGGAGCATACCAAAATGATGAGAAGATGGCGCTGAGTTCATACAAGTTGTAGCCGCTAAAGCCTTGGCAAATAAATCAAAGACAGTTTTTGTAATGTTTTGATCAAATCAATTTAGTATTCTTTTATTTTATTGTTGTTGTTTTTCTAAATAATTCCTGCTTCTTTCTAGTTTTCAACTGTTGTTTTTAGGTTTCTTTCGGCTCATTTCGCTATTTCCGCTTTCTTAAATTTCCTGCATTGTTAAGTTATGTATATTCATATATGTATGCATGTTCGTTTGTATTTGTATATATAGCTTGTTTTGCTGTTAATATGTATGTATGTAATTGTTGTTGATTTTGTGTGTGAGTGATTATATAATAATAATTCCTTGTATCATTGTAATTTTTAAATATGCTACAAATTTATTACTGTTTAGTTATTATTATTGTTATTATTTATGTATTTTCTTCGGTTTTTCCATACATTTTTCTTTTTACTATTTTTTTTTCTTCATGCTTTCCGTTAGCTTTATTTAAAGCGTTTTGCTTTTCTACATTACAAACAAACTTACGCCTTTACTATAGGTTGCTATATACTTATATATATACATATATGTATGTATATAATATTTATGTTTTACAATGTCTGCATGTGTTTACATTGACATACGTATGTAATTTACAGGTTCGCAACAAAGGTATTCTACATTTTTACATATCGAACTCATAATAATACTCCTATACACTTAATGAGAACAATAATAATGATATATTTTTATTGTACATAATGAAATAATTAATGATTTAAATAGAAAATTAAAAATTACAATAATAACATAGCTGAAACGAAAATGTTCGCTTCATTAATCAATTAATGAATAATCAATATAAAACTACTATCACATTTAATTTATGAAACTATACGTGTTTGTATGTTTTCGTGTGTTTGTATGCTACATATGCATAAGTCTGTACCATTGTTGATATTACTAATGTGTATTTATATACATATTTATTTTTTTGTACATAATATATGTATGTTTGTATGTGTATTTGTTTGGGATGTCCTCATAAAAGTCTCTGATTTTTTGTTTTTGTTCTACTTAAAAATAAGCAAATGCGCCGGCATTCAAAAGCACACACAATTATACATATGTACATATGTTTGCGCATGCTGATTAACAAGAGCGTTTGTATGTATGTATAAATGCATATGATTATGTTGGTATGCATAATGGCTTGCATTGCATTTACACACATATTCAAAATATTCATATTGTATGGAAACTTTGAAAACAAAATTAAGATATATGTATATAAGTATATTTCCTTACTTACTTATGTATGTATGCGTTTAACAGTTCGCTTTTCATGAAGGGCAAAATGTGTCACATATACATACATATTATAGCATATACAGGTAGTTGGCGAGATGTTCTCGGCTCGACACTAGCATTTTTGCTAGTAATTACATTTGGATTCAGTTCTAAGTTATTATCGTTACATTTTTATTTTGTATGAGTGCCTATTTGTGTATGTGTGAATGCATATAATTTGTTTTTTTTTTTTTCTATTTTGTTATTTTTTACTTATTCAGTTCTACTCCTTTACTTTACTTGCAACGTCACTAGCTACAATTGCCTGCGGCTGTAGTTGTTGTGTTGATTTGTTAACTTTAACAAATTTAACTACACTCCGACTTAAGTTCGATTTGGCGATTTTAAAAGCGCTTAAAGGAAAATATTGTGTGACATAAATGAATTGTGTGGTTTTTGGTGTTATCTGTGTTTGCCGTACTGTCGAAGCGCTGCAGAGCGCTCTTTCATTTGCAGGGGTTCGGTAGTCGATGTGGGTGTCCTTATTGTGTCGGTTTATTTGTCCCAAATTAAATAGTTGTCATAACTGACTTGGCAGATGTACCTATAATATCGCATATGTGAGTATGTATGTATGTATGTACATATACCATATGTATATAATTAGTTTCAATAAGGTTTCAGCACTGATATCTATTTGAATATGTAATACTTTATATTATACAATATCTTAGGCAGCCATATACATACATATGTACCTGTATGTATGTATTATATGTACGTTAGCATGTATGTTAATGTTCTCCGTCTACTTGTCATTTACATTTTTATGTTTTTGAACATAATAGTTTCTCGTAAGCTGTAAAAGAATTTCTACCCGAGATGCACAAAGTCAGAGAGAATAAGTCGAAAGAGCGCTTGACAAACTGAACATTCATGAAAGCGGTCGGTACTCAGTTGTAGGCGTCTCCTGTCTATTGTTATATGTGAAACGTACAATTTCATGGCAATGAATTGTGTTGTTTGCGACGTTAAATCTGGTCTGTGAGGCCTCGACATTTAACAAAAGCAATTTTATTCGCCTCAGCCCTCGCACCTTTACAAACAATCAACTACATGTATGGTATGTGTATGCGTCTATTTGATAAAGTGATTTTTGTCTCCTGCAGTTCATCGTACTTTATTGCTTTTACTGCCCGCGAAACCCTTCAACCGGTTACACCTCGCCGTTAACAATTTTAAATATTTTCAATTGAAATGCGCGTAAATGTATAACAATGCATTCATTTCAATGTTGACTTAACGAAAATCCTACAACTTTTGCCCCGCTACCTGCCGCTTTGGCCAGTCTGATCAGCAGCCAGCTGCCATTGCTCTGCGCTTCAACCCATTTAATTTACTCTTAAGTGCTTCCTCCGCTCAACCGACATTAGATATGTTGTTGCTGCCATGTTTCCGTTCTACAAGTACATGCTTGCTGGCGTAATGCATGGCTCTGTACACATACATATGAAGTTTACATGCTTCTATGCGGCATAATCAATAATTGTATTGTATATAATATATATTGTATGTATATGTATACCATATATATATACGTGCGGTATGTATACGCGCATGCGCAGCTAATTGTGGCTTCTTGTATGCATTGATTAATTTGTAAATTGTTATTGCTTCATAAAACAGCTTATATGGAACATTAATTACCTCATTGCTTCGTGTGTTTGTATATATGTATATATTTATGTTTCAGCAGCTAATTAATAATATTCTTTTGTTAAGTGCTAATTGTATTCAATATATCCTTGTTGCTAGTATTTGTCATAGTAATGTTCAATTAACGCATATGCATGTGTGTTCGTGTTTCCCGTAACCGTCTTGGAGCAAGTTGGTCGATGTTCGTCACTGAGCTTCAGGCCTGAATTATGCATAAGCAAGATCAACGTCACTATTGTTTCAATACTTTGGGTGTCTGCAGAGTAGACACTGAAAGTCGAGACGAGCGCAAAGCTGACGAATGCGACAAATAAGCTCCAAACCCGTCCGAAATCACAAGGACTTTTTTTTCAATAGCACAGAGCTGGAAGCAAAATATTATTTATCTGCGGAGTGCATTTCTTCTCTTTTCACTTGCATTAGCGCAAATAAAATGAACAGATTTAAAAAGAAAAGTGCACATGTACGTGTATAATAGCAAAGTACGCGCGGTAATCAGCGCTGCTCGGAATCAGCTTTGGGCTCGACTCGGCCTTGAACGTCCACTTTGCAATAGCCTTTGTCTCGGAAAACTCTTCTCAATCATTAATTTTGTTGCCAGCGCTGTCTACCACCAAAAACAATGTTTGCGAGGTTCATTTGTATCATTAAATCCACTGAGTACACAATATGGACACAATTAATTATAGATACTTGCATGCACGAGTGGAAATGTAGCAACAAAGTCCACCTCGTTTTGTAATTAAGCGAGGTTTATTATTTAGCAAGAGCAACATTTTTGCTCAGCCAAGAAACAAAGCGAAACTAAATAATAATCCAGTGACTTTAAATAAATTTGTAATTGAAATGCAAAATAGCAAGTTTAAAAAATAAATTCAAATAAAAGGCGTTAGACTGCCACTCGCTGGTACAATGTACGCTAAATGGGTGTATGTGTTTGTGTGTGGCGCGTTGTCAAGTCTTAAAACCGAAATTTGTATATTTAATTTAAATATATATATTCAGTGGCTGACCCAAATGCGGGCAGTCTCATTGAAATAAGGCGCATAATGAATAGACAAAATAAATAAAGTAATTATTTATAACACGCCAGTGACAGACAAAGCGGCCAAGCAACAACAACAACCAAACTGCGACTGGCCATTTGAGCGACGCAAGACGACAGAAAGCCGATGAACAGATAGGCCATCGCGCCGAATGCGTCATTTTTAAAAAATTAAACGCACACACAAACACGCTCAGAAGAACACCAACCGATCTACATCCAAAAACAATATGAAACAAAACACATTTCCATTCATAATATTATTTTTGAATAATAATTATTTTTTATTTAATCTATTTTAAATTAAATTACTATTACCTAATATCATTTATAGCGCTGTGAATTTGGGAATTTCATAAGCGTGTGTATTAAATTAAATATCACATTAATTAAGGAATTCAAGAAAGTGCTGATGAAACGAAAGCACTGAAGGTCATTCGTTTCTGCTGATAAACGCGCTTTCGAGCGAACTCGTGAGTTAATCTATAAACCACAAATGAGATTTGGCCAACAACGAATACGCATACATATTTACATTATATTATATTTACAGTGAATAAAGCAGTACAAAATTAAAATTTTTAGAAAAACAAATAAATAAAGCCTTAATACAAATTAAGTACTGACGCTCATGTACATACGCATATCCATGTTGGTGTATGTGGATGTATGCCTACATTGTCTACGCAACTTTTACGGAAAACGGGCGTCTAGATCGTTAAGCAATTCGCTACGGCAAGTACTTACAAATTCGATTTTATATTTCATTTCTGTTTGCCTCGAGGGCCCATAAGCTTAGCTGGCTTTGTTGCATATTTATGTTATTTTAAGTTGCACCGCCATTGCACGCAAAGGAGTAACATGGTACAGGTATTGAAAGCATCTGCATTAAATAATCGAATGAGCACACACCTACCGCCATACAATACATATGTACAATATAAGACGCGTTGGCTACATTTAAAATGCCGACGGCATTCTCAACAGCTAATACGATCGACACGTACATGTGTATGTATGCGTGTTAGTAGCCTAAAGAGGTGCAAGAGCCGTCGGCGAAACATACCTACGGGACAATAGGACCGCCTGGGCCTACACACCTACACATGCGTTCTACCCTAGAGCTTTTATAGCAAGCGTTTAACAATAATGTTGAAGCGTCTTCGTGTTCGTTAAGCGTCCAACTGTTCGATTCGTCAATGGCGTAACGTTACGGTACATAAATATCGACAATGTGTTGCATTTTCTAATAGTGTAGTCTTATTTCCAAATATTTTCTAATGGGTTCTTCATCAATTTAACAATTTAGCAGCTATCGCCTAACATTAATTTTCCTCTTATACTTTGTATTTATGTAATTTTGTTTAGCATTTTTGCCTTTTATGTTACGAAATGCGCTATCTGGCATTTGAAAGTAATCCATAAGTTTGTTTTGCAAATAATTTTACCATTTACACTACCGCAACTTCATTATACGTGCTGCATGGAATCGGCTAACTCCAAAAGCTATGCGACTTGTTCACTTCAACTGTCCACCGTCAACCAAAGACCCGCTGTAAAACGGCGTTCATAAGAAGCAATTTGCTAGCTGCACTGCATTTAATCGCTTGATGGAACAATGACAGTTTTCACAACTGCTGTTGCTGTTGCTGCTACGGGGGCTGTTGTTGCCGCAACTGCTGTGTCAGCGTTTCATGTCGATCATACATTGTAACAGGAAATCTGTTGCAGATGCTGGAACGATGGCGTGGCCGCGAACTGTGGAAATGTCTGGCCGAGATTGGCCGCTGCAGCGACGGCAGCCACATTCGTTGTTGTCGCCGACAAATAAGGATGCATGCGCTGCGACCGCAAGTACTGTCGGTATTTGCCGCTAAGCTTTTCGTCACGTGCGTAGTGTGTGCTTATTGTCGGGGTGGTATCAGGCCCAGCCTGATAGTTGCTAGGAACTGTTGCCATTGGGCTGCGATCGATTATCAGCGCCGACGCTGTGGACGAGGTGGCTGCTGAGGCAGACGCTACGCTGCTCGGATCGGCCCACATCGCACCAGTGGGCAAACAATGCACTTGTTGCTGTTGTTGTTGTTGTTGCTGCTTTCCGTTGTGATGCGTGACTACGCTGCTGGCTGCCGACGCACCATTGGCACCGTATACGCCGCCGGAAATCATAGCGTCTCGTTTGCCTACGGCGGACAGACTTTTGCCGAATAAGGCGGGTGTGCTGCGTGGTGCCAACATTTGGCTGGAGTGCACAGCTGCCGCAGCTGCGACTGGTGTCATCGAGGAGCGGGCGGCTATCGCTGCCAACTGGTCCCATTGTGAGGCATTCTGGCTTAGAATATTCTGATGGCTTTGAGAGGTAACGGCGGCTGCTGCGGCGGCGGCGGCCACGGCTGCAATCGAGGCAGTTGTGCTTTGGCTTGGACGCTGCAGTTGCTGTTGCTGATGCACTTGGCTGGCATTGCTGGCAACAGCGCTTGCGGCACGGCTTTGGTTACTACGGTGATGCACAGCAGCCGCGGCTGCTGCTCTCCTCACTGCACTGGCGTGCTCAATATACACCGCTGTTGAGGCGGAGGAGGATGTTGGAGCAGATGAGGCAATGCTAGCTTGTTGTTGCGCCGCTTTCTGTTGCTGCGTTTGTTGTTGATGGTGGCTCAGATGGTGGTGCGCCACCACCACTGGATAGTGCGCTTGTTGCGACATTTGCGACATCTGTTGCTGTTGAAGTTGCTGCTGTTGCTCCTGTTGCAACTGTGACTGTTGCTGTTGTTGTGTTGACTGCCGCAGTTGTTGCTGCTGCAGCTGTTGCTGGTATTGCGCAACTACTTGATGCTGCTGCAAGTGTTGCTGTGTTTGGAGCTGCTGCTGTTGCTGTATAACCTGAGATTGACGTGCAGCTGAGCGACGCGTCGATGAGCTAGTGACAGCTGCACCAGACGTACTCGCCGCCGATGACGCAGCACCACTCGTGGTTGCTGACGATGAGGAGCTACTTAAGCCACTCACCAACAACGCAGTGCTGTTGCGCGCTGACGCTGGCATATTGTTAACAAAAGGACTGCGCCGTTGTGATTCCATTTTACGAAAGTAACAGGGATGAATCATCAACAATGGCTCGACTCGTTGGCCTACCGGTGGTTTGGGTTGATTTGGTAATTCATATTCTACGCTGCAATCTACATGCAATGGAATGGAATAGTCTTTCTGTGGTGTCGCAGTGCCGCCGGTGCTGACGATCGCCACCGTTGGACCAGCTGACATTGTTGGACCATTACTAATATTGGTGGTGCTGCTGCTGTTACTGCGACTGTTGGTGACGTTGGCGCTGCCAATATTGGTGCTGCTTATAACTGAGTTGGTGGCGGCGACGGCGGGTGTGACTGTGGAGGCATTACCACCTCGGCCAGCCGGCGTCGCCGCCGCCATGGACGTTGAACGGTTCACAGTTGTGGACGACGACGACGTTGCCACATTTGATGATTGCGAGAGATGTTGCTGCTGGTGGTGCTGATGTTGCTGCTGCGTGTGATGGTAAATTTGCTGTTGTTGCTGATGATGCGTTTGCTGCGACTGCTGTTGCTGTTGGTGGTGACTATGGCTGTGATTGAGGTGATTATGGTGATGATGTTGAGCACTAAGCAACGCCGCTGTAGACATGCTATGTGGCAAAGACATTTCATAGTTGGCGTAGCACGCTGCCATCGTCATTTTGGCAATATTTTCGTTAATAATTTTAGCAATCTTAAAGACGCTCTCACACACAAGTTTCCCACTTTTTTATATTCACATGGAATTCGTTATAAACACTGCCCACAATTTCTTTTATTTTATAACATTAGCTTTCTTCACAATTTTGCGGGTGAATTCACATGGAAGGACTCAATTTTAACAAACACAATCTAACTTTATTGCTGCTTAGTTTGCTTTTGCTTTTGTTTTTGTTGGCACTAATTTCCTTGTTTGGGTTATTTCTTTTATAGTAAAGCGTAAGGAGTTGCGAAATATTCACGAAATGTATTTCGAGCACAGAATTTTTACTTTTGATTTTTGCAATTATTTTCTTGCACTTCTTATCTTCAGGCACTGGTGTTTCAAATGACGATAATTCAATGAAATTTCGAAACGTATCAAACAATACACAACTGACACTAGCGACGGTTATCCAAATTGTTGCTGGTGCTATAAAGTGATATCGAAACGGTATGGTAATCCACTTTCAATATACTCTTTGATTTACTGTTGCTTTTGGAGCTTTTCTTTCAGTGAAACTATGATTGTGGATGTAATGCAAAGCTCACACCAGCTCTATATATGTATATATTTAGCTGATATTAATCCGCGAGCTGTGCAGGTATGCGCAGATCCTTTTGTGTAGATGGGGTGTTTCTTGTTAATTATACCAGGAACGTTAATCCATATGTTGCTGTTGTTTACTTTGTTATATCATTTCCTTGTATTTTATTTAGCAAGTAGGTAGAAATATATAATTACTTTTCTATGAATTACGGTTATTTTAGTCGTATTATATGTAATTTGTTCTACATATATTAGTTTCACATGAACTAGTTACTTAATTTTTAACGTATTTTATCAACCCGTAATTGTGAATGTGTTTTTGTTGCTTTAACTGCATTGGCTTCGCTTTCTTCTTATAATTAATTATTCTATTATTATTGAATTTTTATTTTTTGTATTCTTGTATTTTTGGAATAATCCTTGTCGTTACTTTTTATCAGTCTTTACTCACGAAGAACTAAAAATACACTTTGAATTTAGTTACGTTTGCTTTTGTAATTGTCTTTTTTCTTACAAAAAATTAATCAGCCTTAATTTAATTATCTTTGCGTGTGTGTGTTTGGTCAAGTTGCAACTGCAATGTTGAATTAATTAGATTTGTTTTACGTGACGGAGACGTTAACGTTTTTTTCTTTATTCACCGTTTTACCGACCGTCTATTTACTATGACCAACCCAAGTGTAGTGAAAAAAATTCTTAATGACTGCCCTCGTTTACTAGCTGGTAGTTTATGGTTCCGAATTCGTTTTCGGCCTTGTCTCTGAGCTCAGTATTCTGTGGCAGTAAAATTGCCGTCGACTGCGGCAATTACAGGAATTGGCTCTTCGCACTCCGTTCTTCACTTGATGTTGGTGGTTGCTATTCAGCGTCTCAGCGCTCAGTTTGAGTGGTTTGGGTTTCACTCAGTTTTGCGCGTCTGCACTTAGTTGGGTACTGGCTGCTATGCCACGACAGCTGATTTTCTTGTTGGCACTGCCGCAGAACAATCGATTCCCTTTACAATTTTTTGGTTAACGTTTTTTAAGCGTCCAACAACAATTGACCCGCAGAGGTGGTATGTATGCATACCTACTTAGTCCTTTGCTTTGGTGTTTGTATTTGTTTGTTCAGAACGCACTCAAAGACGGTTATGCTGACTTGTTATCTCTTTCAAACATGCACAGTTCGTAATAGACGATTAATATACCACCGACAGACGGGCGAACTGACGTACCGTTTGATGGGCACACCGCGCGACAATACAACTAACTCTTAGCGCATACGTTCAAATGGACAGTTGCAATGATTATTACGCCGTTCACGTTCTCACTGACTTCGACGTTTCAAGTCTGTAAGGGCATAACGTCAGCGAAGTGGCAGCGGAATAAAGTCACAACGCCCTTTTATTGTCTGGCCTTACAAACGTATTGAGGTCAGAATTTGCTGTTGCTTTTCGCAGCCCACGTCAAATGGTATGTATGTGTGCGTACAAAAATTTTCTGTACAACTTTGGTGTTTTGCTGATTTTCTTCAAATTTTCACTTCAGAGTTACTCGCTTTGCTTTTTTTTATCACAATTTTGTTTTTTTGTTTTCTTGTTACTTAACTAATGTAAGTCGTTTTCGCTTATAATCCAAATTAATTATAGAAAAATATCGTACATTAAGTTCTAGTTTTTGGCTTTGTAATGTTTTGATAATTTTCTGAGCTCTTCAACGTCGCGACGCGTTCACTCCAATTTACATCAAATTTGACTTTTGCGAACGAGCTCTCTCAACCGACTGTGACACCAATAAGCTACGGCCTGCAGAATAGATGATTGTGCCGCTGGCCTTTAGCAAAGCGCAGCTGACGCCAACAGCTGAGACAAAATTTTCCACATATTGGGAGATTTTGAGTAGATGCGCTGAATACGTTAGTCTCTCTGAACGTCGGAGTTTCGAATGTATACTCACTCTTCTCAAAATAAATACTTCATCAAACATACATAAATGATGGGCGCGTGTAGACGCTCTTCAACAAAACAGCTGTTTTAATGGCTGCCTGAGATGAGCGCGCACTTCCTTTCTAATCGTGAGAACGGAAGCGCATCTACATGAACCAATTGCATGCGACGGCCGGCGCTCGCTTTCTTAATAACTACCACCGTTACACTACCGCCATTACTATAGCCCCCACCAATACAAGACACCAATATATGCTTTTGCTGCTTATTCCGCTTTGTCGTGCTCTTCAAATGCTTGGAGTTTAGACGTGCAATCCTACATGCATGCATACCTATTTCAGTGGTATTTCATATTCCATTTTTACCAATTCAGCCATTGCGGCAGCCATCTTTACATTTGAGAAATTGTTGTTTGTTGCATGAACATCACCAGCGAGTGCGGCTGTATGCCGGTATATGGGCACGACTTACTTCGCTCTTTCTCATATTCGCTCACTCACTCAATTCCATGGCACAATGGTTGGCCCAACAAACATGCCGGTGACGATGAGCGTCACTGGTGTGCTCTGGAACCACTACGCCTGCGACGGCTATAGCCAAACAACGTCAACGACTGAAGGGCTTCATTAATTTGTTGCATTGTTTGTTGGTGGCGCTGCCATGTTTTTTATTGCATTTACTTTAGTTTCGTTTGTGTTAGTTCTGCACGCACGCACACACTGACAGATGTATTTGGCTGCGCGGATGTAGTGTTCTGCTAACTTTGTTGCTGCGTTAAATGCGGTGTCAACATGTGCACATGATTTGTGTTTTGATTTGTTTTGCTAGCGCTGTTCCTTTCTAAAGCCAATGTTGCTATCGCGCTCTCACACACGCACTGCGACGGCAAAATAGCGACGGCTCTCGCCTTTAAAAATCGCAGACTCAATTTGCCACTGCGATTTTTCGTGGATTTCTACACCAGCTAGTTTTAAGATATTATATTTGAACTGAATAAAGTTCCGTGTAACGGGAATGCCACATATTTGGTGCCCTATGTGCATATAAATATATATATATAAATATGTACAGATATTCATATTCAACCTACATACAGCTTCGTAAAAATTAATAAATATATATATATTATAGCAGAAAATCTTCAAATATACTATATTACTTATCTACCAATGGGTGGTTCCTAATTCAGATTGTCAGCTGATGATTTTGTTAGTGTCATACAGCAGCACTAACCCACACATACTTATTTAAATACTGGAAGAAAGGGCTGAAAAAGGCTGTAGCCCCAAAAATCGATTCAGCACTGGAAATCCAGGAAAAAATCCATACAGCATTTACAGCACGCCAAGGAAGGCATTCTAATATAAACTTGCATATATAATTTTAAATTTAATCCTATATGCCAAAGGAGGTTTTTCATGTAAAGCTCTTTATAAAATGAAAATTACTAAAAATTAAAAAAAAAAATTCCTCCATGTTAAGATGTACATGTATGTATATAGCAAAAGGTTTTCTAACACCGTTGCAGTGTGCTAAAATACATCTCAAACTGGTACGTATGAGAATATGGAGCCATCAATCAATGGTTTTCTAGGTGTTGTTATATCTCATTATTATGTACAGTAAAGCAAAGATTAGCCTTGCCAAACATTCCTCAGTCAACTAAAATGCTGCAATATAAAATGCAGTTATTATTAGTTCACAGATCGGAAAAGAATTTCGGATTTGTTTATACATAAAATCAATAGAACCAATGGAGCTTAGTATACTTGCTTAGGGAACCTATGTTGACATGTTTAAAATTATCGACTCAAATTAAAAGTGTGAAGTGAGTAATTTCCAATTGCTGCCTATTTTACACATCTATTGGTGATTACTTTGAAAGGGACAAAAAAAAATTCATGAATAATAAACACTTTCTTAAGAAATACAAAATTCGCGATACTTTTTGAACTAACCTCGTATTGAGGAAAGAATTTCCTTTGCCAAAATTCAAGGTTTGTTTAATATATTTTTAACTCATAACATACTGTAAGCATATAATATATGTACGTTAGTTAAGTAATGCCGTCGGCACTGCAGTACCGTACTTATATTTATTCTCATTCTTCAATATAACAATCTCACAATGCTCATGGTACCAATAAGCAATAAAATTTAAAAAAAAATGCTATACAAAATTAATGAATATTACTTTCTGCCTGCCTTGTATAATAATCTCTGCCAAATGTCGTGCAGATATCCCGTCGAATAAAAAGGTTTTCCATACAAGCACTTAATTTCGATGGTTCAGTTTGTATGGCAGCTATACGCCACAATGGTCCGATATTGGCGGTTCCGACAAATTAACAGCTGCTTGGGGAGAAAAGAACTTGTGCAAAAATTCACAACCATATCTAAAAAAGTGAGGTACTAGTTCGCGTATATACAGAGTGTCGGACGAACGAACGGATGTGGCTAAATCGACTCAGTTCGTCGTGCTGATAATTTATATATAATAGAGTCACCGACGTTTTCTTTTGGGTGTCACAAAAATCGTGGTAAATCCAATATATACGTACCGTGTTCAGGGTATAAGAAAATAAACACCCCTGAAATAGATATACATATATTTGTCGTGTACTTGCGAAAAACATAAATACTAAGAAAACAATTTATGCATACTTCAGATGTCGGGTTTTATCCACATTTCAAGTTCCCTAAGTGCGCATTTGAATATGAAAAGGTGCGAGAATCGTAAATATTTAATGAACATTTTAATATTTGTCTTATTCTATTTTATTTTATTTATTTTTTATTATTATACGGTTATTTGGTTTTGTAGAGCTGTTCTCAGTCACACTACAACTTCAAACATTTATATTAACGGAAAACCCATAAAAAAGTTACGAAAATAATCTCTGATTCACTTTCTGAATTCCATGTTAGAATTAAGCTTTTTGCTGGAAGGAATGACTATTTGGCCGGCCGTCGAGTAAGCAAGCTCGACGTCAAAATTTTTATTCACTAGCCTACAAATTTAAACTTATCTTTATTTTTTATTTTTCTGTAAAGCCAGAATCTGTTCCTGAAATACTTTGTACTAATTTTATATGGAGATAAACCGCTTTTCCTTTTGTAATTCAATTCCTAACAACTCTTAAATTATTATTTTTATCTTTAATATTTATTTAAACTAAGAATTTTTACAAAATGTTGCATTTTTGGATCAGCTAAATTATGGTTTTACAAGACACATTAAGTGGACGTTGTCGGACATATTCACGAACAGTGACCACATGGCTATTATTGCTGAAGTTTCATCTATCCGAGCTGGAAGCTTTCCTATGCTAATTCACAAAGCGAAGATGAAAAGCCACCACTGTTAGTAAGAGAAGAAAAAAGGAAATAGATGGCATACCAAACAGAGCTTTAAAGGAAGCCATAACTTTAAAAGCAAAAAATGTACAACGCTGTCCACTCTCTAATCCAAAACTGTCACCCGGAAAATCTTCATCATATCAACCTCTGTGCATGTTCGCCACTATTGGCAAATAAAAAGAAATCGCTCAGACTTAGCAATCCTTGAAGCCGTCGGACTATATGGCCTTATGAAACAGATAGCCACCATTGACGCATTAAACAATGTCGTTGACACTGGAAAATGTGCAGCAAGTAGCAAAAAAATAAAAAATATTACGCACTGATTATCCTGGATGTGAAAAATGGGCAAACATATTTTAGACTCTGTGAGAAATACGCGATCCTCATAAAAGAGAAGTCCTGCTCATAAGCCTAGGAAAGTGGAATAAAAGATAACGCTTACCATAGGGAAGTGTGAGATTACTTCAAAGCCGCAACTGAAGTATATATGTATGTATATATCGAGTCGAAAAGCCGATGACCTAAAACCTACACTCGGCGATAATTTCATGGTGAAAAATTTGCAGCACTTATATACAGTGAACCAAAAAAAGTGACTTATTTCCTAAACTATTAAATTTTTGAGTTGCCGCAAAAAGTAAGGAAACCCCGTTTTATTAATTTTCATAATGTAATTAAAATTTATTTTGAAAAATCCGATTCTCTCCAAAAATTTAAAAAATCCCAAATAACTCTTTTTTCGAAGACCAAAAAAAAAACTTGTATAGTTTGCATGAATTTACATTTTAACACTCTTTAAAGAAAATTAATACTTTGTATGTGCTCCTTTAATCTCTATCATGGTTTGCAGTCTGTTATTCATAGAAAGCATCAAATTTTGTGTAAGTTCAGGAGGCAACTAACTTTGCCCTCTTGTAATTTCGTCACCACTTAGACCCAAAGCTGTTCAATGGGATTGAGGTCTGGACACTAATGAGGATGTATTCGAACTTTTTCCTAGTTAGACAACAACTATTATTTTACCACTAAAGCAGAATGCTTCGCGCCGTTATTCTGAATAAAGCAGTAGCCACCATTTAAATTGAGTTTAGCTGCTGTCGGAGCTAAATTATTTTTAATATTGCCTCGTAGTCCATAATTCCTGCAGTGAAAACAATGTTACTCTTCCTCCACATCCTTGGCATTAGCGACAGCGGATATTTTGTGGTGTTCCTTGATATTCCGAGCAACTTTACTTTCAGTCTGGGGTGGGCAAATTTTTTTTTTGGCGTTCCACTAAAATTAAATCTTCCCACTCCACCAATCTTTTGGAAGTTAGCAATAATGTACTGAACAATAGTATGTTCTTTTTTTAATACATATTGCCTATTTCGGGAGTACTTTTATTCTCTTGCCAATATTTGACTACCAGAACCTGTAAATCTTGAGACGGTTATTATTCACAATTTTTATGCTATAACTACTACCGCACACTGAAAATCGCTTACCAAAAATACATTTTGACTATAGTGCCAAACAAAAATAACGGTACCTACTTGGTAACAGTGTAGACGTTATTTGATTTTTGGCTGCTGAAAAGTGGGATATTTTTTTGCAATGATTAACATTAAAATGATTCATTGTTAAAATTTTTTATTAAAAAAAGAAAAAAATATAGGATTCTCATATTGTTACTTTTGGTTGCAGCTTAAAAGCTGAGATAGTTTAAGAGAAAAGTCCCTTCAGTGCTCTGGTCAATGGAAATTTGTCAACGAAGCGGCAGCTTTAATTAGAGTATTTTGTTACTCCATCGAAGTATTGAATTGAATTGAGATTAGCGAATAAAAGTTCCGCACTAAGGCTTTCAATGCTTCCCCATAAAAAAATAAATTAAAAAAAAATAAAAATATAAAAACCATAATATAATATGTAGCATCTTGCAGCCACCCAAATATTAGCCCACCCACACGAGCATGCACACACTTCTAACAAACCAATGCCAATTCGCCAGTCACAATCATATCTACAGGCCGTTATACGCGAGTGGTGTCCGTGTTTGTGTGCAATCTTTGTACTAAAATGACTTCAAACTAATCCAAATCGCCACTCAATACATCGAAATGGGAAGGTCGTTGCCATAGCAGCGTATAACGATAAGCTGCAGCCGACATAAGCGCGAGCGTGCACTCATTAACCCGCCTGTCTGTGCAGCAATATTGTCGTCGGCAATCTTCGCATGTGTGACTATTTTGTTTAATTTTATTGAGTATTATTACTCATTCGACGCTCAGCCCCAGTAGCAGCAGCCGGGGACTCAGCTACGATGGCTCTCATGGTCGTCAATTACTTGCTGCAGTTATTTCACCTTTTATTACTGTTGTTGTAGTACATATATGTATATCTATATAGCTTTAGGTTTTTTTTTTTATAGATTTACTACAGCAATAATAAACGCCTAAGCGTTGTGAATCAGCTGTTTTACTCGTCTGGTTGGTTCCTAAAACATTACGAAGCTCTCAGCGGCATTCCAAGGAGGTGTGTTAACCAGCCTCTCTCCAGGTGATTTTTTTAAACTGATTTGTTGTGAATTTACGCGGAGAGCCGGAGAAGCCGAATTGAACTCGGAAGTACAGGGAGGAAATTGCGCAATCGAATGTTGTTACATGCACGTGAGCATCAGAGAGAGGTAAGTTATGTTTGCTGAATAGAGAGAGACACACGAGAGAGGCATGACTGTGGTGCTGAGTGGTAGCAGATTGAGTATATTTCCTTTTAGTTTGAGT